TGCTTTGCTGTGTCTCTGTGCATTCATGGCCGTCTGTCTTTGGCACAGTAGCACATGTCTATTTGTGCCCCTACATTTCCCATTAGCAGTGGGCTGTGACCACTGCCTCTCGGGACTGAGTTTTGTGAGCTCAGGGGCTCACCTGTGCCCATCTGTACCTGAGCTGTAGATACTGGGGTTGTATAATCCTGGTAGCCAGACTTACTTTGTATGAAACTGGAATATTTGTGGGGCTCATATGTCACCTGGGATTCTGGGCATTTGGATCTACTGGAAAGGATGATGATGACTGACCGAAATGTGAGATTCTGTCAGGAAAAGAAAGAGTTAAATCTTGCTGCCAGGTTTCCTCACTCCATAGCCTTCCCTGTCCTACCCCTGTTCCCAGGGCTGTGTTGCTCTGGTCACTGCTGTCCTCCTTGGGGCCACTGGAGAAGGAACTGCAATAAGTTTTTGACATTAACTCTAATTGGAGTTGCTTCACTGTGGGAGTTTGTAGATGACACTTTAAAGTGGGTTAAATGTCTTTTGCAATGCTTTAATGCCACTGCTGTTTGCACATTTGGCAGTGTATTGCACTTTAATTCCATCCACTGTTGCACATTCAGTGGTGCAATGTGCCTTAAATGATTTTGGGAGGCAGCAAATGACTTTGGGGTGCTGCAAACTAAAACACCTCCAAGGAGTTTGTTGCCTACCCTACAGCTGCAGAGGAAAGTGCTGGGCTCTGTGCAGCTCAGGGGCAGTGCAGACAGACTGTGCAGGCAGCCTGGCAGCAGCCCGGGAAGGCAGGCTCCACAGAAGGGAGAAAAAAATGGAAGCGGTGAGCCTAATCCCACTGCCTCCAAGCCTGCCTGCCTACCTAAGCTGTGCAGGGCCCTGGTGCTCCCCTCCACAGCTGCAGTGCCCCCTGGAACTGCCCGAGCTGGGTGCCTGCGGGTGGGTGCCACTTGCGGGGGGGACTGCCGCTGCCGCAAGGGGAGGCACCAGCACTCCCCTCCCTGCCCCCTGCAGCTCAGGAACTGTTCTGCTCACCAGCAGCTCTCTCTCTCCTCCCTGCCACTGGAGAGGCAGCTAAGGATCGGGCTCCAACATGGGTGTGCATGACACAGGGGTTTACTTTGCCCTAAACTGAAGCAGTGTTTTTAAAAAGCCACCTTTTCAATTTAGAGAGAATTAAACCCCTGTGCCATGCACGAATGCCCTGAGTCCCTTGCACAGTAATTGCTGGAGACGGTGAATCTCCCCTCAAGTGACAATACTGATGTGAAACTAACCTGTAAAGGCCACCAGGTTCAGGTCACCTCATGTTGCTACAGGTAGAAAATACCTTGTCAAGCTACTGCATGAGTACAAAGTTGATCCAGGGACCCATCTTCACTGGAGCTGGAGGACAGAGATCTCGGGGCACTGGCTGAGCACTGCACAGAGCAGGGGCAGTGGATTCTCTCCAACTTCAGCCTGGGCAGACAGATTTGAGCAAGGACCTGGCACTGCCCTTTGCATATCCTCCTTGCAATAAGGGGCATGAGCCTCTCCCGCTAATGAGCTGATATGTCTACACTGGGGCAGTGACAGAAATTGGGGCTACACAGTCCACAACAGACCCAGGGCTGCCAGTGGCTAAAACTTCATGAGTGACCCCCCACACCTCTGACCTGTGGCCTGAGGACCAATCCCAGGCATACTGCACTCCACACTAAAGGTCCAGTTTTGCCCATGAGCATCTGTAGGGGGAGAAGATTGTCTGGGTTCAGAACAGGGCAGGTGCAGGTGGTGACTGGCCATGGCTTGGGGTGTGTGCAGCATGATACCCCCTCTCCAGACTGGGGTGGATGAAGCATGGCCCACAGTCAAGAGGTTTAAGGAATGTCAGCAGCTGATGCCCAGGGCCACACGCAGGCTGTGGGCACTCATCTCACTGAGCCCCTGTGACCGTCACAGCTCCCTGGGGCAGGGTTTTCCCCATGTGTTTCCAGGGAAGGACTTGGTATCTCTTCCTGTGTCCTCAGCACCCACCGTCTCGGGCTGGGAATGCCTGAGAAGCACACAGCAGCTGCTGCCACTGCCAGAAGATGCTCAGCACTTCCTCCTTGGGCCCTTATGGGAGAAAACCCATGGTCCAGCCAAACTGCTATCCATGCCCAGGGGGAAGGTCCCATGGCTCTGCCAACCGGGAGAGGTCTGACAGGTGACCTTCTATTAACACAGGAGCAGGACTGTGCCTGGGCTTTCTCTTGGTGCTTCTGTCACACAGGGACAGGACAATCCCCAGGGCCTCAGGTTAGTCCCTTCCCAATGTTGTAGGTCATATTCAGCCATTAACACCAGTGCAGAGTGTGGAGAGCTCCCTCATTTCAGTTTGGGCTACCCTTCCCTGGACAAGGCATGGGGCAGGTAGATATAAGCCTGCATGAGTTGAGCTCTTACTTGTGGTAAATCTCTCTAGCTTAGCAGAGTCAATATGTTTGCACCCCCTTGGAGTCCGGTCTGGAGTGGGGAAGGGACTCCCTGGTCACAGACATCATGTGGTAGAGTTGAGTCCCCTTGGAGAATGTGAGCCCTGGAAGTGAGCTGAGGGCTATCTGAAGGGCTGTAGTCCATGCTGGAAGTGGGAATTACTCTATCCTGGAGAGACCTGAGTGTGGGCTTGTAAAACCAAGTGTCTGGAGTGGAAGCAGCAGGGGCTGGGCCCTGGTTTGGGGCTCACTGTGCAGACCCGAGGGGCTGTGGCTTGTCTTTGCAGGAGCCAGCTGGCAGCAGGACAAAGCAATTTAGACAAGGTAGCTGGCCCCTGATTTACATCTTCCCTCCCTTACCCCAGCCCCCGCTAAGGATTTAGCCACGTTAGGAAATCCATTGCACACATTGCTGGGGTCCTTGAGTTTCTGGTTGCTCATCTGCAGGTGCAACAGGCTCTGGGAGTTGTTCTAGGAGATAGTAAATCACCCTTTCACAAGCAAGGAGTGCCACTAGCTGGATCCAGTATTCTTTATCTCAGCCACCCAGCTCAGCCCCTTCCCAGGAGCCTGCTGGAACCAGACCATGTAGGAGTCCACGAAAGTAAACTCAAAGGATTTGCAGGAGACATGCAGAGACTCTTGATGCTTCCTCATGTCCCATGCAGACTACCCCAGCTGCAACTGGAACCAAGCACCTGAGAAACAGGGTAGGATACACGAGTAACTATTATCAGGGCAGCATCTGTGCAATGCTCCCCCCTGTCTACCTGCCTGTGGGAGGTTGAAATAACTACCAGAGCTGCTGCCAGGACAAGGAGGTGAAGACCAAATCCCATCTTTGTTTCTGGGGAAAGCTTTTGGGTGTTGGCTGCTCACTGTGCAGACCCGAGGGGCTGTGGCTTGTCTTTGCAGGAGCCAACTGGCAGCAGGACAAAGCAATTTAGACAAGGTAGCTGGCCCCTGATTTACATCTTCCCTCCCTTACCCCAGCCCCTGCTGCTTCCTCCTTTGATGGGGAGCAGCTGTGCTGAGCAGAGTTAGCAGGTGCTGGACTCTCGTATCCCACCTCTGTGAAACTCCCACTCCAGGCCCCGGGGCCCTGATTGCCCCTAAAGGGACCTGTCCCCACCCCTGTCAGAGTGGTGCCTCCTGGTGTGGAGGTGTCTGAGGCCAGGGGGAGGCTGCCCAGTCCCTGCCATGGGCTACAGAGGAGCAGAGAGTCAGGACTGGGCTTCCTGGGTACAGTCACTCACAGTGGTGCTGAGAGCCAGAGAAGGACCATGTGTATTTGGGGTTTGGCCAGAGGATGCAGGCCTGAGGGGCCCATCTCAGGGCAGTGCCTGCTGTGCTTCTCCCTAATGCCTCCAGGACCATATGGGGGTGCTGGAGATGTAAGAGCCCCTCCTGCTGCATCTGGTCCCTGGGAGGGGCCATCTGCAGCTGCTCTCAGGTGCCAGGCTTGGCTGGTGCTGAGCAGAGAGCAGGGTCCAGGCCCTCATGCCATCCCCCTTGCCTCCTGCTCCTGCTGCTCTACCTGGTAACAGTTGTGGGCTCTTCCCGCATTGCCGCCTGGGTGTGAGGGTGCGGAGGTGTTGGCCTGTAGTGATCTCTGCCTTGCAGGTGTCCCGGGCCTGGTGCATCAAAAGGGGCTGGAGCCTGGGGAGGCACCAGGCTGGAAGGAGCTTCAGAGCTGTGTCTGTGCAGGGGGCTATCCTCATCCAGGCTTCACCATGGGAATGATCCCTGCAGAGGTTTTCACCTGAGAGTGTCAATTCAGCTAAGTAAAAACATGAGCTTCCAAGATGCCAAAGGGTTTGGACACCCCAATTCTATAACAACCTTCGGGATTGATGTGTCAAGCATCCCTGAGGGCCTTTGAAATGTCTGATGAAATACAAAAGCAGAAAGGAAGATCCTGAGTGCCTGCTGAGGATGTTAGGGCCTAAGAGCATTTGAGGAGGTTGACAAAACTCTCTTCTCTGGTGGGCATGAAGATGATTTCTATGGGAGCCAAAGGGAGTTAGGAACCCTCCCACTGTGCAGGAAAAACTGGAGTGGGAGAGAAGAGCCTGGGTACTTCCCCTCAAGCCTTTGGAAATTCTCTGTTTAATACAATTGCAGGAAAGAAGTGTTTTTTTTTTTTTGGGGGGGGGGGGGGTGGGTTTAAGTTAAGGGTATTGTGCTGGTGGCCCTTTGGGCAGACAGGGCTTGGCATTCCACAAGTGCCTAAAGAAAGTGGGGAGTCCCACTGCCATACCCATTCATGCTGATGAGGACCCCAAATGCTCAGTGATGAAACCTCCTTGAGATATGTACTGCTTGCTGACATCTGTCTGTCAAATGCCCAGTGAAGCTCTCAGGCCTTTCTCCCTGGAATGTCATCAGCCTGAATATAAGGTCCAAGGATGATTCTTTTGGAGTTTCCCTCCAAATGTGTGAGGTTTCCAGGTAGAAATGTCCTTGTCTGAGCTATTGTAATTTTGCTACATTAAGAAGAACAGGCTTCCCCTTTTTGTGCAGCCCCTGCTCTGCTCTGTGTCACTGTGTCTCTGCACAGTAATACGTGGCGGTGTCTGCGGCTGTCGGAGAGCGCAGCTGCAGGGAGAACTGGTTCTTGGAGTTGTCCTTGGAAATGGTGATGCGGCTCTGGAAGGATGGGTTGTAGCTTGTGCCACCACTGCTTCCAACTATGTACCCCATCCACTCCAGCCCTTTCGCAGGAGGCTGCTGGATCCAGCTCCAATAGACGCTACTGCTGATGGAATAGCCTGTGACAGTGCAGGTCAGGGTGAGAGTCTCTGCAGGCTTCACCACCCCTGGGCCAGACTCAACCAGCTGCACAGCAGAGAGGACACCTAAAGAAAAGAGAAAGTAGGTGAAGAAGAAGGTCCAGGGAGGAAGCCCCAGAGCTCTGGCTTCCCACCAACCTTCCCCACAAGCTACATGGGAGAGAAGACTGAGGAGTAGGAATAAGGAGCTCATTGCTGTTGCCCTATAACAAGGGAGACTCCCAGCAGGCAGGAGGGGGCTGGGCATGGACTGAGGCTCCACAGCCCAGAGGCTGTATTTAACTTGGAGCTCCTGGTCAGAGATTTGCATGTGGTACCCAGGAGGGTATAAGCAGCCCTGGGCTGGGAGTGCTCAGCACAGGGCCCTCCTCTCTCTGCACAGGGCTCTGAGTCTCTGGCACAGAAGAAGATGCTGGGATCAGCACAGGGGAAGGGCCGGTTCTTGGATCCATGGCTGGGCCAGGCTGTGGACAGGGGCTGTGGGGTCAGTCCTCTACACCTCTCCACCCCCTGGATGACATAGCATGAGTCTCTCAGGGGCCCTTGATTCTCAGCCTTGGTCCCTCTGGGCCTTCTCTGCTCAGTTGGGATAAAACATCCCCGCCTGCCTGGTGGACAGGAGACAGTGGCACCTGGCAGAGATGAAGCCAGGTCCCAGCAGGTCATGTTGGGTGCCCATGTGTCAGTAACCTGAGTTAGGGTACGGGTACTTGGGTCTGTAGGGGTCTGGACACCAGAAAAGTCCCCTGAGGTTGCAACACTAGCTGGGGGAGCCTGGGGGCCAGAGGGTCTCATGGCTGAGGCCCCCAGTCCTGAGGCTGGTCCCTGGTAGTCAGTCCCCTATGGGATGCACAGGCCCCTGAGACCTAATAAGATCCCCTCCTTGCTCCTGGTGCCCAGCTGGGAGATGAGAGCTGTCTCCTCTCTATGCCTTGGGCTCCAGGTTGGGAGCCCCAGAGCTGAAGAATTGCAGTGAAGTCTCCACTGGAGCCCGGCACCCCCCAGGCCTGAGGCTAGGGTTTTCATTCTTGTGTCCCTATGTGGACCCTGGGGTTTATTTCCCCTGGCTGCAGCTGCCTTGATGTGTCTGGCTCATGAGTGGTGTGGTGGGTATCAGTGCAGTGCCCAGGGATTTGTGTGCAGGATTGTACAGAGCCCACCGCGACTGCACGTTATATATATATATATAAAAAAAGAAGATTGTGGGTTCTGGAGAGTGGGTGTGACTAGAAGTGTTGTAGAGAGACTGTGAAGGAAGGTGGCAGCTGATGAATCTGTGCTGGCAGTCAGTAGGTGAGTGCAGGGGTTCAGGGCAGAGGATGCTGACATCCTAATGGAGAAATGAACATGGCTTTAGCTAATAGTCCTTGCTCTTGCATCCCCCTGCCCCCAGTGCAGAAAACACTCACTCAGGGGGGCTTCCAGCAGGGAAAGCAAAACCAGCACCAGTGTCATGGTCATTGTGACGTATGCCCGGTATCCCCAGCAGGCAGGAGGCGGCAGGTCTGGGGATACACTGAGGCTCCAAGAGCCCAGTTGCTGTTTAAGGAGGAACTTTCAAGGCATTAAGCAAGAAATGGGGTACATCATTTACCTGTGCTTGTTTTATATGGATCCTTTGCAAGTCTCACTGAACATAAAGTGGATGTGTCTGTTGATTAGCAGGAACCTGGGGGAGCAGATGAAGCCCTAGAGTGGGTTTGGTACTTGTTTATGGGTCAGGGGTTGTCAAGGTGAATCTCTTCAAAGCTTTGGCCCTTCCCTCCCAGGGAACAGCCTTTTCCTTGGTATGGTCTTGTGATTGCCTTGCTCTGAGCCTTGCACCCTTGGGGTGCCTGGTTTTATTTCAGTGGTTCCTGCTCTGGAGTAGGAGTTCATAGATCCATAGATTGTAGAGTCGGAAGGGACCCTGAAGGATCGTTGTGTCTGACCCCCTGTCCCAGGCAGGAAAGAAGACCGAGGCCAGACAACCCCAGCCAGGTGCCTATCTAGCCTCCTCTTGAAGACTGCCAAGTTAGGTGACAGCACCACCTCTCTTGGCAGCCCATTCCAGATTCTGGCCACCCTTATTGTGAAAAAAATTCTTCCTAATGTCTAACCTGAATCTACTCTCCACTACTTTGTACCCATTATTCCTAGTTACTCCCAGGGGTGCCCTAGTAAATAGCACATCACCAACTCTCTGTGGAGCACCAATTGCACTGGCTTCCAAAGGGGCTTGTGCCCCTAAGTCCTTGTGCCCCTAAGTCCTTCAGGGGATTTTGGCATCCTCCTTTTAGCCCGCACATTGCATCTCTGGGGGAAATGAGGAATCCAACCCAGAGGAGAGGCCCATTAGGAAAAGGAAGGGCCGTCAGCATGGTACTGCACTGGGAGCTGAATCCTTGGGTCCAGGCTCAGAGCTGGAATTCAGGTATGGGCTGGGGATCTTGTTGTATGAGTTTAAATAGGATGTGAGAGTGGCTAGCTTTGTATATTGTGCGTGGGTTTGAAATAAAGGGGTCTGAACTCAGAGAGGGCAGCAGGGAGGCTGTGAGGTGTGGAGCTGTTGGCACCAGAGAGGGACCTCATGGAGAAGATAGGAGACCAAAGCAGCAGGAAAGGGGAATGGGATTGACCAGAGTGGGAAGGGGTCTCTCCTCCCAGTAAGAAAAAAACTACAAGAAAATCTTTGGATTTTCCTTTCCAGCTATGTTTGAGCAAAGTTACTCAAAACACAGGTACCATTTCTGTACTTCAGCAACAGTGAGAAGAAAGCCAGAGCAGCTTGAATAATGAATGACAGCTTCATAGGTCCCATTTGGAGTAAAACTGGGTAGTGGAATCCTTTAGCTGCAGCTTTTTCAGAAAACCTCTTGTTTTTTATTGTCCAGTGAGAAGAAAGCCAGAGCAGCTTGAATAATGAATGACAGCTTCATAGGTCCCATTTGGAGTAAAACTGGGTAGTGGAATCCTTTAGCTGCAGCTTTTTCAGAAAACCTCTTGTTTTTTATTGTCATTGTTGTTATAATTGTTACTGTTATTTTTAAGCCAAGAGTGTTGGACTGTCATTTGCATTAACAATTCACTTTCCATAAAAGAGAGAGAAAAGATCCTGAAATCCTGGACTGTAGAATGACTATCCTGTGACTGAGGCATGCATCTGTGTGTGTGCATGTGTGATATTCAAAACTTTCAGTGATGTGACAGGGGATGACATGTTCAGCTTATGCTGATGTTCAAAGGACTATCATACAGTACGGTAGACCAAGGGTGGTTTTGCCTGCAAATGTCCAGCAACAAAAACAGCATTGGCTCAAATGCACCTCTTCCCCAATTAAAGGAAAAGTAGATGGGGCAGGGGCAGGAGAGAGAGGTAGCTTTTCTATTATTTTAATTATAGTCCTCAGTTTAATTTGTTTGTGTGTGTTCATTGCCCTCAGCTGCATCCGTTGTCTTATCAGCAGAGGTAGAGTCTGAGTTCCATGCGCTGCTGATTCAGGCTTAGGGATGCAAATCCCAGGGAGTTTTCTTTGGACCTTAAGAAATTGCAAATAGGCAGTGGAGTCCTTTCTTCTAGGTCAGTGCTCCTCAGGGTGGCCAAGGGCTCTAGTGTGAGCAGGAAACCTGGCTTCTTCCACTGGGGGGTTTTGAATGGCTCTGGATATGGTTTGTCTCACTGTGTGACAAGCACAGTAATACACAGCCGTGTCTTCGTTCCTCAGGTTACTTAGCTGGAGGCAGGTAGTACTGACAGAGGTGTCCCTGGTGATGGTGAATCGGCCCTGGAATGCCTGGCCATAGATAACGCTACCAGCAGAAGGATTGATATCTCCTATCCACTCCAAGCCTTTCTCTGGAGGCTGCCTCGCCCAGTCAAGGTTGTTGTTGGTGAATGTGTAGCCAGAGGTTTTGCAGGTTAGCTTTACTGACTCTCCAGGTTTCCTGACTTCTGCTCCAGACTGGGTCAGCTGGATCTGGGAGCTGACGCCTGCACAGAAAAGAAGCACAAGAGACTGATAACCCATTCACCTCTGCCAGCTCTCTCCTCTTTCCAGGCATACCCAGGTCTTTTTGTTTTTCCTCCTCCGTGGGACCATCTGAATCCTGCACAGGAACCCCATGACGGTAGAAGTTCCATTATCCTTCTCTTTTCCCTGGGGTGGGAACTGTGTATCCTAACCAGGGCATTGTAAGTATCCTAATGGGGTGTCTGTCCGAAGTCTCCAACGCTTACCTGAGCAAGCAACCAACAGCCAAAGGAGATTAAGCCCTGTCATTTCAGGTTAATTAAAAGCCCCTGTGGGCTGCAGTAACTCTGGACTGTTTTCCCCTGAAAGATGCTTTTCAGAGGGTATCAGCAGCAACCTTTTATCAGGAAGGGCCCCTGCCTCATTTGCATGGAGTCCCTGCTAAGTCATTTGAATAAAATCACACCTCTCCAGTTTTTCCTCATAAAGGACATAACCCTACAGAGGCACTGGATCTCTGCAGTGCAGGCAGGCCCCAATTTGGGAGAGCACAAATTGCCATGGGGATGACCTGTGAATTTAAGGATCATAATTTGTCCCTCTTCTCTCTGGCTGGGCCCCCAGAGGAGCCCAAGGGAGCTGGCAACCCCATTGCAACTCCAGTGCCAGAGGTCCCAAGACACTCACTCTGAGACTCCTTTGCCCTGGCCCTGCACTGGCAGATGGGTGGCAGAGATACTGTTTCTCTTCCCCACCATCTGCACTCTCAGGCGATGTGGGCTAGCTCCCAGACACGGGCTTTCCAGGGATTTTGGCCCAGGGCTGAAGGGGGATTCAGGGCACAATGTATAGACCTGAATGTGGAGCTGTAACAACACAGGGCTTGAGAAGGGGCATCAGGCAGGGGCTGGTCCCTGTGGGGCTATGTGGGGCCAAGGGTGCAGGAGGGCATGCATGGAGCCCAGCAACGGCTGTGTGGTCACTGCTCTAATACACACCTGGTCCTCAAGAGGCC